AATAACTTAAAGAATTAAAGAAGACCATGATAGTCCTAAATATCCCAAAAATATTTTTAAACAGTAACTATAAAGATCTGGGGCTCAGCAAAGCAAATCTGAAAATGTAGTGGTTTGAGAAAGAAGAATAAGACTTCTCTGGTCTTTTTAATGCTTGATACAAGAGAGTTATAAACCACAGTGAAGTTCAATGTAGAAATGTGAAGCTGGCTCCATCCTTCTTGCTGGAAAGCTTTCACATTTATTCTCCTTCAGGTGAAGGATGTATCAAATCTTGCATACATGCAAAGTGCAGTTTAACAGTTATTTAGGTAGACTACATAAAACTTACTTTCCATTTCAGCTAGTCATGTTATTATTACCTGGTAGTATTGTACCAACTTTTCAGTCGGTCTCCAAGAGGAAGTACATAAACAGAAATGCTAAAACAACCCCCTCCCAAACTATTTTCTTTTGCAAGATCCTCTTAGCCACCCTGTTCTGAAACACAATTACAGACTACTTTTAATGGTCTGGGTTTTTTACTGTTATTCAGCTGCTCAGACTTAAGAACTGTGCTATGGATTTAAATCCAAACCTTTGCAGACAGATGTATTTGCACTGCAAGATTTTACCCAACTGTCTGAATTGAATTTAGCCAACATTATCTTAATTTATCTCAGTGAACCGAGAGGCAAGCTTTTATGGTCATAATTACTTTTTTCCAAGAGGATGACTTCACTGATTGTCCAAGACAAAGTACTCTCTAAGTGACAGTGATCCAGGTTTTTCTCTGTCTTGATGCATACTTGTGGCTTAGTAACTCTGCATCACCCACACTGTCTGATTAATCTGAAGCGCTACAGCCTGTGAGCACAGGCTCTCTAATATGCAGAAGATCTGAAAACCCACTTGGAGGACTGTTTGGGTTTCCCTTCCTCCCTTTCCTGCACTTGTTAACTTTCAGCTAAATTAAGTAAGAGTTTTGGCTTTCCAACCAAGCCACAATTCATCTCCTCCTCTAAAGATGTCAATATGCCTTGAACACAGCTAGGCACAGCTGTATTACCCATGATGATCACTACAAGTAATAACCACTCTTGTGCTTTGCTGCCTAAGTCCTATATATATTCTTAACGCACAGTACTGCAGAGTAACCCCCCTTCAGATGACTAACGTTCAGCACCATCTCATGGAAAAAGCTGTGCTACAGGCCTTATATTCCTTATAAACATAACTCAGTAGTGTGCTATGTGATCACATAAAGAGGATTAATGCACATGGTACAGCACACGTGCTTGTTACGTCAACCAGTTCACCCACTGCTACATCCTACATCAGTTTTAATGAACACAAATGTGCATCTATAGCTAACACAAACCTGCAGCTATACTGAAACCAACTATTACACATTTTCCAGCTGAAGACAGACACTAAATGATTAAGGCATATGGTAGTATTACTACAGGTTCAAATAATAGTCTGTGTATCTGTGTCCCTCAGCCTTTGAAACTGGAACCTTTTCTAAGGGGCTGCAAATTCTTTCAGTAGTTTTAACTGAATACCATATACCTTGCCCTTTTCTTCTTGCCTCCATGCAGCACTACTGAATAGAAGAGGTCAGCATGTAACTAATCCTACATTGCAGATTGTGTGCAGGATTCAGAGACTCTAAGACCAAAGACGAAGTAGAAAAGACAATGATCTTTTTGCCAGTACGTGTCACTATATAAGGTCATTTTTACTCTTTACTTTCATCTTTTATATTCTATATTTTGTAAGAAAAACTGGATTAATTAGTTGAATTCAAGCACAGTCTAAGACTCTACTTAAACATTATACCAAATCCACGACTTTCTAAACAGTTTGCCAGGCAAGTACCTTACAATGAAGACCACGTTCAGAAAGCACAAAATTTTACTGCCACCTCCTCACCCAGATGACACAAACTAAGGAACCAGAATGGAAAATGCACAGAGACCATTGGCAAGGGAACTTGAGCTACTGGTAAGTAACTTTCCTTTCATGGTGCGTTTTGGATGGACAAAAATTGCTGTATACATCTTTTCCACATTTAAACAGTAATGCTACTGGCTAAGTATAGAAAAGCAGAAAACTGAAAAGTAAAGAATTGCATTAGAATCGTTCTGTTTATACACCATTCAAAATTATTTCACTACCACAATACAGTGACTCTCCTAGCCTCAGCATCACAGATCACGTACATAGAGTATCCTGTAAATGATCCCAGTGCACCTTTAGCCTAAGCTGAGGTCTCAATTTTCTCATCTATCTCAAGTGTCTAACACATGCAGTACTTCTCTCATGCACTGCCTGCTTCCTTTAAGTTGCTACAGCATGTGGTTTCTGGATCTGCCAGCACTACATTGATGCAAGTGATATACTGCTCCCTAGGCTTCTCTGGTTAGGGTAAAAACACTTTTGTTCTCTTGCCGATCCCTACCTTTATTTTGCTTGCAAGGGTTTCTGGTTTTGCATCACACAGCTCCAGAATAATCCACAGGAAACAGAAGATCAGCAAATTCTTTAAAATGCTGTATTTTGTGGTTTGGCCTCAGTGACATCCTCTTAAAGTAAGGAAGCCAATCAAAATCTGAGTTTAAGTTTACTAAGGTTCTGCACTCAAAGCACTGGGACTATCTGCTGGCTTATGTTAGAATCATAGAATAGTTAGGGTTGGAAAGGACCCTAAGATCATCTAGTTCCAACCCCCCTGCCATGAGCAGGGACATCACACACTAAACTATGTCGTCCAAGGCTCTCAATGCTTCTAATTGTGTGGCTCAATAGAAGAAAACTTGATTATTTAAGATTAAAACAAAATATTTTTCTTAAATACAAAAAGGTTTAAATAGATCCTTCCAAAATTTAAAGCACTTACAGAATAAGAAGTATGCTTTGAAAATATATAACTATTGTTTTGAGAGTTAACAGGAAAAAAAAAAAGTACCAACTAACTGTCATTGCAAGGCTGAGGAAACTATTGCAACAGAGAAAACACATCCAGCTCAACTTCCTCTACAGCTCATTTGTGTAAAACATTCTCTGAGTTACATTTCCTCACTGGCAGGGGAGGCAGAACCTCACTTCGTAGCCAAACAATGACAATGGGCTGTAGTATAAAGAAAAGGAATGAAAAAATATTTAAATCTTAAAACTTGCTTTACAATCTAACTGAAGTACTGTGAGACTTCCCAACGGATCACGGAAGAACTTGTATTGTAACTTGGCTTTTATCTATTGCTAAGGAAGACTCAGGGAGCTGGAAAAGAAATAAGTTACAGAACCTCTGGAGGTTCTGCTGTTATAAACATCTACATTCAGAAGTGTTTTCTATTGAAACTCCATCATAGAATTATGGAAAATTGTAAGTAAAATTGTATGAAACCTTCAGAGTGTCCCTCAATAATGATTAACTAGAAAAATGGATGATTGACTGAAATCATCTCCCCACCCCATTTCTTTGCGAGATTCTGGACAGCCTTTCAAGTGGCAACAGGGACAATTTAGATGAAGTGTACTAATGACCTTCGTACTCTCCGATTTTATGGGTGAATGACCAACAGAATAGGTAACAATAGGTCTCTGCTTTCAACTTCAGAAATGGACCCTCACATTCAGGTGACGATGAGTAAGGTTTTGCATAGGCACAGAAATCCACCTGCAGGCTCACTTGGGAGCCTTTCTTGGGCTCATGAAGTCACTCTAAAATTTGCTGTGTCACTCACTGCCCAAAACTGCAAGCAGGAAGTGACAGGAGCTGAGGCTCACAACTTTAAAGGTGACAAGAAATCAGTGCTAAGTCCCCAACACTCCATTCCATTTGATGATGCTTGCAAAGCTCCAGCTGGCACAACCTTCTTCTGAAAAGCCATTTCACCTCTCACTGGTAGGAAATAGGAAGAGGCAGGACTGTCACCAAGCCTACACAAGGTCCTGGAAGAAAGGACTTACCTCATTTCCTTTTATTGACAGAGAAGATCCAGACCTTTCAGACACATATTACCACTAACAGCCTTTATTGCTGGTGTTGCTGCATGCTTCAAAAAGACAGCATACTCTAAACTACTCACATGGAATGACATGATTAAAAGGAAATATTGAGGAGAATTTAAACTCAAATTGTTTTTCTGAATTTTAAAACTAATATCAAATACTTAGTAAAAAATTATCCATGTATGAACAGGCACAGATCTCAAAGATGACTGGTGAAAAGACTTAGGAAGGAATTAATACATACTTAGCAACTAAGGCAGAAAACCTGGAAAGGGAGGAGGGAGGGAGAACGGGAGAAACCTATCTACTTCACCCTCCCTGAAACTCCTAACTAGAAATACCAGCAGCTTTAAGATATCAGCAGTCCTGTATCTGTGATGTTGCTATAACATGGAGCTTCCCACAATTAATGTATATCAGAGACTTACTTTTAAATTATTAACTTCCCAGGAGTTGGAATACCAGGGACAGAACTCCATAGGTGATGTTTCATCCTGCTCTCTGCTCTAAGCAAATGATTGCAGCTATTTACAAATCATCATTTTTAATCAGATTTTAAAAACATGATAGAATGATGATGAAAAATCTTGGTAACCAGTAATCTCATCTTCCAGTCACACCACTATTTTATGAAAAGGCAACACCAGAGGACCTCCTCAACAGGCAATAAACTATGAAGCAAAGGAAGAACTGTCCCAGGCTCTGAAATGTTTATGACTGCTTATTCCTTTGATCAGTTTATGTAAAGGACCACATGTAATCACCAAAACAAATGCATACAAGTTCCAGCATTCCCCACTCATTTTCTGCAGGAAGTAACAGTGTATAAGACAGAGGATGCAAATGCAGCACACTTTCATACCACCCCATTTGACCCACCAAATTAAATCTCTCCCACAAGACAAACAAGGACTATTCAAACATTTGTTGTATGCAGAAGCAGGAACCAGGGAGAATGGTTTGCACACAAGAACAAGACTGAATGAAATCAAGAACACCCTTACCTGAACTGAAGGTGCTGGCTCTTGAGATTGGCTACTGGTAGTTCCTTGGGAAGATGCTAAAGCAAAACTGTCAGTCTTGTGTAATACTGGACCATCAATCCTGGCAGATGCATCTGTCCTATGTGACTGCCATGTCTCTTTTCTGTGATGAGATTCACCAACTTGCTCATCTCCAAAGGCAGCCCAAGAACAGCTGTCTTTTTGTTCATCTTCAAAAGCATTCCAGTCTGTAGCCTGGTTACAACCTGCTGACCTGAAGTCTGCAAAGTCGTCACAGTCCTGAAAAGCAACACTCTCATCTTGAGGTTTTGGCACTGAATCGAAGTCTCCAAATTCACTGTCATCACCATTTTCTACCTCAGTAGTATGCTGGAAGTCTAAGCCAGAAGTTTTACTGGTAGTATCACATTCTAAAGTGTCAGCAGTCTGATTTAGTTCAGCATGATCCAACCTTGCTGGCTGCTGAGAAACAGTACTTGTGTCCCTGAATTCACCAAACTCATCATTAGGCTCACTAATGTGTGCGGGCTGTTTGGAAGGTCCTTCTAGATCTAGAGCATTTATTGATTCTTGAGCGTTAACGAAGGTGGGAGATGCACTGCTGACTGAGCCAAAATCACCAAAATCATCATCATCGTGTGTGTCACTGCAAGCTACTACTACAGTACTACTTTCACCATTGTTAAGATCTTCAGAATTATCCAATTTTTCTCCTGCAAGATCACAGCTTAGGCTTTGGATCTTATCAACCTTGATGCTCTCTGTTCCTGAAGAGCCATCAGGTGTAGTAAGACCTTTGCCATTCTCTGTGCCATATTGTCTTCTCCTTCCATTGTGTTCTCCATTTTCAGTAGTGCATATTGAACTTCCAGTTACTTGAGACTTACTAGAAATTGCAAATTCATTATCTTCCAGTGCTGAGGGGCCCTGTTCACAGCTAATTTCTGAAACACAAACTTCTTCTTCAATATGAGTTACTCTGTTTATTCTGTTGTTCTCCTGAACGCTCAGAGAGTCTCTTTCATGAAGAACACTGCATATTGTAGGTCCAGTTCCCTCTAAATGGATTGGCTTTTTGCTTGAGAATGAAGCAAAATCTGCAAAGTCTTCACCTGAGCTAGGCATTGAGTTCAAATTTTGCTCAGTACTATACGTGCTAAAAGTTTTCAGTCCCTTTGAATCACTGACACTGTCTAGATCATCTGTTCCCTGAGGATTTGCAGGGTCTAATGCTGCAAATCCATTTGTTAGAATCTCTAGACATGGAATTTTCTCACCATTGCAAGCATCTATTTGCTCATCCTGGCTCTCAACTGCTGTACCAGTTCTAATAACACAAGAAGAAAAACCCTCTGATTTCCCAGTGCCTCTTTTGCTTACATCTTCTGAAGCAGTACCTGAAGTTCTAAACTTGGATTTTTCTTTGCTGGTATTTGTAGCTGGCATATCAGAAAGTTCCTTAGTAAGAGTAGGAAGCTCTGCAACGCAGTCTTTAACATTTTTAACAGATGTGAAAGTTGCAATGCTAGCTACATTGTCAGAATAATCATGGAGTGGGATGAAATGATTTGTGGGTATAAACTCTTCCTTTGGATGACTGTAGTCTGGTGTATCAAAATCAGGAAAAGCTACTCCAGCAGTGCTTACACCAGAAAATCCTCCAAATTCATCTTCATCATCATCATCAGCTCCATTGTCTAGTGGTGGAGGGGATGAGGAGTACATTCGAATAATATCTGGTTCCATTGTTTAGTTCCACTTCAAAGTTAATGTATTTCTATAACAGTGAAAAAAAAGTATATTAGAATTCGGCTAACTTTTACAATTCGTATTTTTTAATTTTACTGTTTCATGTTTTGTTTTACAAGTGAGCATATAGGTCAATGTCTATATTAGATATGAGAAAGGAACATTCCCCAAACCCATTTTCAAACTGATTCTTCTGTTTCAGAAGTCACAGAGAGTCTACTGAGGACAATTCATACCTCTTGTAAACTACCACATGATCATATCCTCAGCAGACAGCGCCAAAACACCAGAACACAAACCACATTTGCCTTGAGCTGTTGCGTACCACAGACAATTAAACTGAGTTTTAACCTACCAGTTCTCTACCTTCCATCACAAGCAATCCATAAAGTACCCAACGACCCTGGTGCATCTTTTGCCATGCTCCTTTGTGTGCTCAGCTTACTGTGTGACAGAAACTAAGCCACCTGATAGACTATGCCACAACATTCATGTACACAAGGCACCTTCAGTAGCACCAAAGACTTTGAAGGATGTTTCCATAAGCTTTGAAACTGTGAAAGCGTGGAGGAAGGAACTGCTGTTATAATCATTAGCTATGATACACTGCCCTACAGTTTAAGTTTCTTTCTACCCATTCACAGGGTCCCTGTTCTGTGGATTTCATAACTACAAGCCAACACGCTGTCTCCACAGCTGCTGCTGCCAGTCTGCTTTTGTCTTGTAAACCACCAGTTGGGAACAAGCACCAGCAAAGCCTCGAGCAAAACAAACTTCATCAAAGCTGCTTCTCAAAAGCAGAAAGGAGCAAGATTATCCATAAAATATTTAAACACAAATCACAGGAAGGAAAAAAGGAGAAAGTATTCCCATGGCCTAGATAGAACCAGATTAAGGACTCCATCTTAACACTGCAAACCATTACAGTAACAAGCAAGATATGGATGGAAAGCCTTCTTCCCTAAGGAGTGATCTTGATATTTTTTTCCCCTATATTGCATGTAATTAATGAAATAATAACTAGATTGCTTATAGATTCACAATTGTACATATCACTTAACTCGTTCATACCTTACGAGGCCCTTAAAGGGAGAGAGCTATGACCAAGCTCTTTCCATTATGAATGATGCTTGTCGTGAATAAACTGTAACATACCAAGCATCATCTACAGAGCAAGTGGAAACAAGCTATAAATACTAGTAAATATTTGAATTTCTAGCCACCAGAATAAGTGCAGACTTTACAATACCAGTTCTGAAACACAGATAAAACACTATCCTTAACTTCAGCATCTTCAGCAAACAACTTTGTACATGAACCTGCACAACAGCACACAGAGGGTGTAACAACAACAAAGGAAGCTCTGCACAACGTATCTCAGTGCTTGAGCCAAACAACTCTCAGTATTTGCTAGGGAAGGTATTTTGCAGTTATAAAAGAACATCATGCTTATCAGATGAAACCATGAAGTAATTTGTAACAACGCATGCAGACTGAAGAAGGCTGAAAAGGAATTTTGTTTAGAATAAAGAATAAGTTGTCAACAAGCTCCCACATAGGCTTACTCAGCAGCAGCTGCTTAATAAAGTATTTGAGAGAAGAGCTTCTCTCTCATCTCAGAGGTCTCATCTCTCCAGAGCACTCTCCCTTTTACATTATAGTCTAGCAATTGCTGTTTAATGTATACACTCATGTAAAGATCCTTTCAGAGATGCCTGCAGAGTACAACTTTGTGTTCACAGAGAGATTACTCCAACCTGTTTAGCTTCCAAGCCTCTGGGCTCTCAATCCAGTAAATACAATAATAGCATTTCTTCTTTGTAACTATCAGAGCAGCTATTCCTTCTCTATATCCAAATTTCCAAGATCTACTGTGGTCAGCCATCAACACTAAGATTAAACACCCAGTATATCCAGACTACAACTGCTTTCTGCATGTTTTACTGCAGACAAAAATCCATATGCTATACACAAAGATAAGCCCTGGTAGGTGGCAGTGCTGGTTTTGTTCTTTTGTAGAAGACAGACTGGTTAGGTAGATACTGGTATATATTAGCTGTGTTCATCACAAGGCACCGTATCTTGGGGATAGCAGTATTTAAAGCTATAGGGGAGCTGGTTAAACAGTGAATGGTATGATGGCTAGAATTCATGACTTCTAGCACCATTCATCAGTAGCTCTTTAGTAACACACTGACATTTAGGAGAAAGGACAGAGAGAACTGCACCAATTGGGATGGGACTCACTCTATCTCTCCAATTCCTGGAAAAGGGAAAGGATTTACTGGGGTTCTTTTTAATAAAAAGGAGTGGACTTATCTGGTTATTTAAAAAAATAAAATCACCCCTTGTAACTAAGTTTGCTTTCACAAGTCTCCACTTGAATCTCAGTAAAAAATAGCATAAATTTATTGTTAAACCTCCTGAAATTTAATGTGAGTTGTTACACCTATTTGGAAAATTCAGTCAACACAGTATTTATCATGTTATCCCATGTGACAAAAGCTGAAAAGACCAGAAAAGCAAGAAACCAGTTCTTGAAACAAACAAAAACCGCCCTCAGCACTATTTCAAGGACAGCGCTGACTGGATATAAGCCTTTATCATCCCAGAAGAAACAGGAGGCTGAACAGAAACAATGAAATGGCTAGAAAGAAGGAAGGTGAAAAAGGGGAAAACCTACTAAAACCACCCCTGATTGGCTTCTGGGTGGGGTGGAATAATAAGCAGCTCCCACCAAGTACTATGATTGAAGCCACTGCAATCTCAACAACAATTTAATCATACCATTAAATGGTTTATTCTTTATTAGGCAGAGATATACAATCCCTTTAAAACACATCTCTAAAGCCATTTAAAAAGAAAATATTTTAATATGTTGATTTACAGCATGTTGGTTTACATTGGAAAGAAAAAGACATATAACTAAACCCGTAGACACTTGAAGCAGCAAGTCAAATACTAAATACTTCCATTACTCTCAAACACGTAGCCTATAAAACATTACATGCTTGAGAAAGTCAAATGCTTATGTGCTGACACAAGTTAAAGCTAACATTTGATTTTGAAACCAAGATTTCTGAAGTCCACAAGACCCATTTTTGAAGCTTTCAGTGAAGCATGAGTAATAAAGATCCAAGTTTAACACCAAAGTGAATATACATGATATAAATACATATATAAACCACAGATACATATCAGAATTTTCTTCTTTTGAAACAGAATAATCAAGTCATGCAAGCAATTATAGTCAAGTAAAAAGGAGATTAAATCTAGGTAGACTAGCCTTCTTTTTCCCAGAAACCTTATCTGTATAGATGAGAAGTCATGAGAAGGGGAGGAAAAAGACAGAAGCAACCTCAAATTTGTTTCCAACTGGCAAATACATAAACCTACAGCCCTGCACACAGACAATGACAAAGTAGTTTTGCTGCTTCAGTAATAACACAAATCCACATTGTACTCCCACAGCCTAAAGTTTTCTAAAATCTTGGAAAGTACTTTGATCAGCTGCAACTATTTGCTTGGCTAAGAAGCACTGCCAGCTCAACGGCCTATCTAGATTACCACATCTTTATGGGCAGGAATTAGATGCAGGAGGATGCTGATGAGCCTCCTAATTTATGCATTATGTAGAATCACAGAATCGTTAGGGTTGGAAGGGACCTCTGGAGATCATTAGATTCAACCCCCTGCCAAGGCAGGGCCACCTAGAGCAGGTTAAACAGGAATGTGTCCAGGCAGGTTTTGAATGACTCCAGAGAGGGAGACTCCATAACCCCCTTGAGCAGCCTGTTCCAGTGCTCTGCCACCTTCAAAGTAAAGAAGTTCTTCCTCATGCCGAGGTGGAACCTCTTGTGTTGTAGTTTATGGCCACTGCTCCTCGTCTTGTCACTGGGCACCACTGAAAAGAGTCTGGTATCATACTCTTGGCACCCACCTTTGAGATATTTATATGCAGTAAGTGAGATGCCCTCTCAGTCTTCTCCAGACTAAGCAGGCCCAGCTCCTGCAATCTCTCCTCATAACAGAGATGCTCCACTCCCCTGATCATCCCTGTGGCCTCTGCTGGACCCTCTCCGATAGCTCTTGGTCTGTCTTGTACTGAGGAGCCCAGAACTGGACACAGTATTCCAGACGTGGCCAATACTACTTAAAAAAATAATATCCTAACACTATGAATCCAAGGCCTCAAAAAAAGCTTCTGAACTTTCCTATTAAAAAGAAAATTTGTCTGTATGTTTCACCAAAAGCACGTGTCTTTTATTTTTAAGTCTAGTCTCTTCAGATTTATAGGCTTGTGTAAGTTGGTTTTCACTTGAGTCATTTGAAATATCACATTCAGTTCTGTATTAGGTAACTGCTCCACAACTTGACATCAGAAGATCTCATGCAAGAAATGCAGGTTAAGAATTAATTTCTATCAACACTGGACATAAGTCCATATATTATCCATCCTAGCAACTCTACCTTTTTTTTTTTTTTAACCATTTACTGTATTATCATAGCATTAGCTAAAAATAAATCATAATAGAGTTGAGAAAATCCTTAGAGGCAAGGATGTTCTAAAAAAACAACCCCAAGATGCAACATTCAGAAAGCAAACTGAAAAAGAGAGCAGCAAGCAACACAGTCAAAGGGAATTTACCCACAAGACTCCTTTTCTTTCCAGTTAACATAAAAAAGGGAGGCAAGGAACAAGAATAGTAGGGACAAACAGAGGACAAAGACAATGTGAAAAGACTGCATGGGGGCTGGAGCAGACTGCCAAAGCCCAATCAAATATGTAGGAAGATCTCACACCATCTAAAAATTTTCTTTTCTGCAACTTCAGTCATAAAACAGAAGAGACTTCCTTCAATTTTTCATTTCAAAGCACTTTTAAAAACATCACAGCGATCATTTACACAGCAGTAGTCCAGTAGCACAATGCTCTGCTCCAGAAATGTTTCAGTAACAGTTGCCAAAACAGGATCTGCAAGGAACATTAATTGTAC